CAAAGCACTGATCTTATTCTCTTTGCTATCCTTAATCTAGAGGTACCCTATCCAGTAATGTTAAGTATTAGCCACTAGGCACATGTGCCTGTTCTAATTTAAATTAATTAAAATCCAGTAAAATAAGAAATTTGGTTCCTCAGCTGCAGCAGCCACATTTCAAGTACTCACCAACCATACATGGCCAATGACTCCTTCAGGAGACAGCAGGGATACAAACCATTTCCATCTCTGTAGAAAGTTCTATGGGACAGCACTGTTCTAGAGAATTTAATACCTCTAAGGCAGGAGTATCAAATTCACTTTCACCAGGGGCCATATCAGCCTCACAGTTGCCTTCAAAGGGCTGAATGTAATTTTAGGACTGTATAACTGTAACTACTCCTTAACAGTTAGGCGAGAGCTCGGTGCTGCCACCAGGTAGAAACAAGGTGCTGGGCTGGATAAAACAAGGTGGAGGGTTGGATTTGGCCTGCAGACCTTGTGTTTGCCACCTGTGGTCTTAGGAATGAACTTTAATTTTGACAGAAGGACCTGGTTTTATGAGCACTATCTTATAAAAATGTTTATAAAATCATTATTAAATAGATTAAACACAGGTACACATTAACCCCTTTTACCAACCTGCAAGAACCACTTTTAGAGATGTTTAAGACAGTTCCACCTATCGATGCGTTGATCTCTTTGGAAAGATTTTTGGCTTTAAGGTTTACAGGTACTGGAACTCTGTAACAAGACAAAGGCATTTAGAGCACAATGCATATACACCTATAAATTTTGTGCTGCTCAAGTCCAGGCACTGCTCAGAAGCTTACTTCTTTCTCTTATAAAAATGTCTCCCGAGGTGTGAGGGTAAGAGCCGCCTGATTCTTGCATCAGTAAGGAAGAGGTCGAAACTACCCAGGAGGCGGAGTTTGGCCTCGTAGGCTTTATACTCCTTTTTTAAAGTTCGGAAGGGGATAACCTAGAAAACACAGTACACAAAAAGTTAAGCAAATGAACAACAGCAAAAATAAATATTTGGGCAACAATTTGTATTCCGATTTTAAAATGTCCTGGAGCCACTGCTTAGTGAACATGTGAGAGCCTAAAATGTGCCCGGCACTATGCTAAATGCGGAGAACATGGAGACAAATGACATGGGACCTCAGCTAAAGAATCAGTATCAACAACTACAAAACAGGGTGAGAAGTGCCAAGTCAGAAGCAAACACAGGATGCTATGGAAGTACAGAGGAAATGACATAATGGAGCAACTATGTCAGATCTTCAAGAAAGTTACTGATGTTCACAGTGAACTTTGGGTCAACAAACCTATACACCTCAGCCATTATAGGAAAGATGAAATATGCCCTACCTAAAGTCAAGGAGAAAGAAATTAAAAATTAAAAGAATTAAAATTAATCATTAAACTCCTAGGAGAGATAGATATACTAGGTAACGTAGCAATGTATTACTTATCACTCCAACTGAATCAAATCTTTTAATTGTCTTGAAAATATCAACCTGTTCCCTACCTGAGAAATGGTTTTCACTCCATGGTTGTTTAAAAGCTTCTTATAAAAACATTCTGTCTTTTCAGGTGTTACATTGGGTTCATCCTTAGTGAATAAACAGATATCTGCTAAATCTGATCGAATACCATGAGGCAAGGACCTGCAAAATACACGAGAAGGAACCAAGCAGTAAAGCATTATTATACACAGAATGTCTGTTTATACTCCACAGAGTACACAAGAAATTTATTGTCATTTCAATAAACTTCATTCACATTACTTAATACTACAGCAAATACTACACTGAGAACATTTAAAAATATATTTGGTTTTCAATGGTACAGAAGAGAGATTTAAGGTCAAGTAAGTCACCAAATACCCATATGGCAAAATATCAATTAATATTTGAGATATAATAAGAGTCCAAATACAAAGACACCCAAAATAGCTCATATGTAAAACTATTATTTTATGTGTTACTATATATACACATGTCCTATAACATGCTAGAATTGATTTTCATACGGACAATTCTGGTTCAGAACTTGCACAAAACTCTGGGCTTGCTCCATAAACAACACAGCTCTTACGAGGTGAAACAGAATACATGGCACAAACCAAGAGGGACCAGCAAATGTTCTGTTATTATTGTGTTAAGATTTTTTTAATTTTTATTGATTGATTTATTATTGTTAAGATTTTTTAAATTTTCCAATTAAAAAATTTTTATTGATTGATTTTCAGAAAGAGACACACTGATTTGTTGTTCCACTTATTTATGCATTCACTGGTTGACACTAGTATGTGCCCAGACCCAGGATCAAACCCACAACCTTGGCATATCAGGATGATGCTCAAACCAACAGTTACCCGGCTAAGGTATCTGCTGAGTCTTAAAAAGAGAAGTTTTGATGCACTTACTAGGCCTACATGTTCTGAGTAAACAGTTTCTAAGTTTAAGAAGAGAGAGCAATACACAGTAGCACGACTTGCCAAACCAGATGGGAAGTGCTGTGAAGCTGGTACGTGGCAGAAATCACTAACAGGAAAGCAGTTGGGAAAATATTCTATAGACAGTAAGAGGGCTTTCAGAAGGAAAAAGAGTAAAGGTGTGAAATAAAGAATGCAGGAAGGATACATAAAACAGCAACTAAGGCAATTTGGCTGAGGCAGGTTTGTGAACATTACTTAACAGATTCTGAGGATGAACAGGATCTTTCCAATTTGTAATAATTCCTACCACCTTTACTGCTTTCTTTAGCAGAGCTGGCTTTCTGATACTTAAGAAATGAGTCTCTGCAGAGAGGCAGTGTTATTAAATAGAATACAGGACACCCAGTTAAATTTTAATTATTTTTAAAGTAAAAGTAGGTCCCAAATATTACATGGGACCTATTTATACTAAAAAACTACTAGTGTTTTTATTTAAGTCTGGTCATTGAAGTGGAGGCATCTCTGACCTAACAGTTCTGCAATAAAGAATGTGTAATTATTGCCCTGGCCGGTGTGGCTCCATTGGTTGTGGTGTTGTCCCATAGCCAAAAAGTTGTGGATTTGATTCCTGGTCCCAGTCAGGGCACTTGCCTAGGCTGTCCCTTCAATCCTCACTCTGGGTGCATACAGAAGCAGCCAGTTGGTGTTTATCTCTCACTCTAATGTTTCTCTCTCTCTCCCTCTTTCTCTAAAAGCAATGAAATAATGTCCTCAGGTGAGGATTAAAAAAAATGTGTTAATTCTACTGGCTTCTTTTCTATAAGGAGTCTGCTGCTAAGTTTTTAACAGTATAAAAAAGCAAGTCCAGGATATCAGAGTTTAAACTTGGAACTACCTTGACATGGAAAGATAAACTGATTCTATGAAAGCACAAAAGCTGTCTAACCTATTCTAATTTTTATTCTCTCAAAAACCGGTTTCAAATTCAATAGAACTGCTTAAAATTGTCCACCAAGCCCCCAGAAAACTGGTGAAATTTCTAGAAAATTTAAGCCCATGTTTAAAGAGAGAGTAAGGGAGGGAAAAAGAGAGGGAAATGTCAATGTGTGGTTGCCTCTCCCGTGCCCCCCACCCTGCCCCCACTGGGGACCCAGCCTGCACGCAGGCATGAGCCTCTACTGGGAATCCAACCGGAGAGCCCCTGGTTGGCAGGCCAGAGCTCAATCCACTGAGCCACACCAGCCAGGGGTGAATTCCTATTTTTTTTAAGGCACAACTATTTATATCAACTTGGATTTTTATTTTGAGTTTGCAAAGTTTCCATTAGAAACTAAGTTGCAGTTAAAGCTATACAGAATTGACAAAACAGATAAAAATAGCAAAGGCAGAAGACCAGAACTTACAATCTGACCCTTAGCTCTTTACTTGGAATTTTCCATAATACCACCATTAAAAAGAAATTTTCTTTCTCGTTCAAAAGCAATCCATTCGCGTTTTTCCTGGACCTGGAATGTGCCAACAGAGCTTCCACTGCCTTTCTGATCTGCAAAGTGGAAATACACAAATAAACTAAATCTCAATCTAATTTAGCATTTGCCCTCTTCTCACACCCTTTCCCTTTTTCTGCTCCAGTTCTATTTTAATAGGCAACCTCCACAACAATAGCTATTAGGACCCTGAAATTTGTAATCGCAGGAATGTAAACATCCATCAGAAACCACCTAATATCCCCTTCTAATACTCATTTGAGAAAAAGTGCCAGATGGAACATGCTTCTGACCGTGACGAAGGCAGTAAACAGGATAGACTGGGTAGTAAATGCGCGACACTGCAACTAGCATTAACTGAGCGCTTACTATGTGCCAGGTCTTTGGCTACAACCCTTTACGTATATTACCTCCTCTAATACTGGAAAGCGGAGTCTAAGAGAGCCCATTTTATATACTAGATAACCGAGGCTTGCAAAATTAAGCGCCTTAGTCGTAGTCAAACGGTAGGGAAGGAGAGCCTGGTATATTTCACCCCAGAGTCCTACACTATACCTGCAATACAACTCAAAAGAGCCAGGCCGCAGGGCTGGGATAAGCGGGCACCTATCCGCGTGACTAAAACAGTGGGCAGGCTGACAGCACTGCGAACCAGTGACCCCTTCAAAGCTCCGGGGGCATCCAAGGAGGCTTGGAGTCCGCCTGGGGCACCACGCGCATCGCAAGGCCGCGGCCACCTCGGTTCCGTAACCCCTCCCCAAGGGACTCTCACCTGCCCTTTATCCAGCTGTTCCAGTGAGGCTGGGGTCGCTGAGGTCAAGGCTGAAGTTGCGGTTGAGGTTGCGACGGGAGTTGAAGCCGAGTCTTCCATCTCTCCGCGTCTCACCTCGTGCAGACTCGCGTGCAGGATCCCACAGCTATTTCTTCGTGCGCACGCGCGAGTCCAGGCCTATAGCCGGAAGTTAGGGAGTAAGGTGCGGAATCCTTGCGTCACTTCCGGGCGTCGCGCCACGGGGGTTTGGCGGGCCGGAGCAAACGGAGTGTGCGGTGTGCAGCCAGAGTGTCTTCTCTGAGCTAACACGTCTGCTTCCCTTTTGCTCTGTGTTTCCTTGAGTGTTGGGGAGCAGCCTGGCGGTTTTGGTTTCTCTTTCACAAATTACATCCGGCAAGCGCCTGGAGGCGGTAGAGGAGGCCTGTCCACTCCCCCAGTGAGGGCCTCTCGCTCTCCGAGGACCCCGCCTTCCGGCAGGCCGTGAGGGGCGTCGGGAGAGCCGGGAGTTCTGGCCCTATCATGCACCTGCCGTGTGACTGGCCGAACCTCTTACGTTGCCCAGGCAGTTTCCTTGTACGCGGAAGTGGCAAGAACCTCCCCTCCGCTGGTGGGAATTCTGTGGAATCGTCGTTAAGAGGTATGGGGCCCTGGACGAGGAGCCAGAGCCAATGAGAGCTTCGGGTGTCACAGTGGTGGGAGGTAAGAGAATATAAACATAATCGTGCAGGCTGGAATACGGTGGAAAGTCTCCCTCCTGTCCCACATCCCCAGAAGTGACCACTGTTAACTGTTTCTCCTGGAATTTTCCAGAGGTAGTCTAGGCATGTTTAGTAAATAGTTATAATTCTTTCTCTCTGTGTATGGATGGATTTAAATTTAATCTCTTTTCCTTTAAACATAACTGGTAGCTTAGTATACTCATTGTTCTATACACTGACTTTTCCTCATAATATATCTTGGAGGTTGGCCAAGTTAGTACATAATGGTCTGCCTCATCTTTTTAACTCCGAATGACCTTCCTGCATGTAGATAAGCAATAGTTTATTTAGTGTTTTTGATGGAAATTTAGGACGGTTCTAGTTTTGGAACTAGTTATGGAAATTTTTGAGTGATAAAGAATGAGAACAGGCTTTTCATGTCAGTGTTCAAAAAAAAAAAAAAAACAACTAAAAACAAAACCCTTCCTCCATATTGCCAAAGCTGGAGGAATGGGTGTCCAGCTGCTGATCTCTCATAATCACTTTATCTTTGATTAACTTATAGAAGAAAAAAATTTTAAAAGATTTTATTTACTTATTTTTTAGATGGAGTGGAAGGGAGGGGGAAGGAGAGGGAGAGAAACGTTGATGCAGGCGAGATGCATCAATGGGTTGCCTCTCTGTGCCCTCATGTGGGTACCTGGTGGGTAACCCAGGCATGTGCCCTGACTGGGAGTAGAACTGGTGACCTTTCAGTCAGTCCCCAGGCCAACATTCAATCCACTGAGCCACACTAGCCAGGGCAGAAGAAATTTTCTTAACTCTTTGGTACCTACTCTCACTTGTCTATTCTAGAATCTAATATAAGATGGAATTAGTTTTTGCACAAGATTATGAATTGTTATATTAAACTTCACTTACCAGTGCTTTCTAGTATGTGAAAAGAGCATTAGGGTTGTTAGATGTTTGTCACCTGCATTCAAGATTGAAAATGAGACTTCTAGGCAAGGGAATGATATGAATTCAGGTGCAAGAGCATACTGGTGTTTGGAAGTAGTAAGTGGCTGGATCAGGAATTTGCAGAGGGAGGAATGGGAAATGAAGCTAAAACGAATTAAGGAATTAATTCATTATCAAGCTGAGGCTTTATACTTTTGAGAAATCATAGATATAAGGTTTTTGAACCAGTGCTAGGGAAGAGGAGGTAGTGATGAATTATACTTGAGGAAAGTTAATATGGGTGTGGTATTATGGTGGTTTAAAAAATGTCACATACCCACAAATTCTTAGATATTGTAGTAATGGACCTTCATTCTCCTCCACCTGAGTGTGGGCTGGACTTAATGACTTAGTTCTATCAAACAGCATATATACCATAAGTTATAAGACATCACTTCTGAGGTTAGGTTATAAAAAGACTGTAGTTTCTATCCTGAGTATACCTTTCCCTTCCACACCTCTTTCCTTCTCTTTCCTATTTCACAGTACTTGCTCTGAGTGCAAGCAGCTGCCATGTCTTGAAACTGCTCAGGCAGCCTGCTGGCAACCACTTGAGTGAGCCTGGACATGGATCCTCCCCCAGTCAAACCTTGAGATGACCGCAAACTTGCACTATGCTCTTTTCACATACTAGAAAGCATTGGTAAGTGAAGTTTAATAAACAATTCATAATCTTGTGCAAAAACTAATTCCATCTTATACTAGATTCTAGAATAGACAAGTGAGAGTAGGTACCAAAGAGTTATGATGTAGAAATTGAGATTCTATTTATTTTTAGGGAGAGTGGAAGGGAGGGAGAAAGAGAGGGAAAGGAACAGCCAATGTGAGAAATATCGATTGCTTGCATCTTGCACACATCCTGACCAGGGACCAAACCTGGAACCCAGGCACCGGTCTGACTGGGAATGGAACCAGAAACCTTTCACTTTGTTGAATGATGCTCAACCAACTGAGCCACATCAGTCAGGGCAGGATGACCACAAATTCTTGAAACACACTGAGCTAGACCCATCTAGCTATGTTGCTTCAATTCCTGACCTGTAAAAATAGTGATTATAACTGCAGAATCCACACAAATTGGCTCTATCCTATTTCTAACAAGATAATGAGTTGCTTTTCAGAGACAGCAAACCAAAACCACAAGTCATGCATGCAGCAGAAGCATGTTCAGAGGAGACAATTTGACCTCCAGATGTACCCAGAACCAAAGGACTGGGACATGAATGGAACTTGAACACTGGAACCCTTTTAGAAGCAAAGGGTTAGTTGGTTGTCCTAGGATTTGGTGATGAAGCCCCTTATCATATCTTACCATAAATGGCCAAGGTCCAAAGCTCTTCAATCAAAACCTGCCCCACAGCACTTCTATATACCTGCCTGTTCCCTGTTCCCCCAACCTCTTAAAACTTGCCCTGGACAAGAAGACAGATTTGAGCCTTGTTTGCTGGCTGACTTTGCAATAAAACAAACCTTTTATTTTCTCAAAAGCAAATGTTGTAGTATTGGCTTTTATGTGCATTGGGCAGTGAGTCCTTGCTTGGTGACTGGGAGTAATTTGTTATCCATGAACAGATAATAGAAATTTGTAGACCTCCCATCTTCAAACCCATCAACTGTGTTGATGTAGAAATTGGGGCCTCACACCCAACACGTCCCACCATAAACTCATTCTCTTTCCCTCAAACCTGCTTCTGTTTTGTCTCAATCACTGGCACCACAAACTGCGTAGTTGCCCAGAATATGGGAGTCATCTTTTCTTCTCATCCCCCCAATATGGTCTTGTTTATTCCTTTTAAATATCTCTCGAATTTATCTGATTCTTTTTATCCCTTCTACCTTGTAGTGCAGACCATCACTTTTTCCCGATAGTCTCCTGGGTTGTCTTCCTACCTCCAGTTTTGCATCTTGTCCATTCTCTCCCCTTCAGTTGGAATGATCTTTGTAAAGCTGATTATATCAAACCTGATCATGCTTACAGTAATTGCCAGTCAAAATAGACAGTTCTTGTAAAGGAATACTACAGGTAGTTATAATAGAACTGAATATTAAAGGAAAGTAATTATCTTGAGCCAAATATGTAAATTAGTTTTTAAGAATTAATATGTACTGCGACATCTGAGGAACAAATCAAGGTAATTAGAGTGTATACTCCTAATGGCCATCATTTATTTTAGATTGGGAAGTATATAGTTCATTACAAGGCTACAGCATACAAGGTATTGATGCTAGTTTTCAGAGAACTTGTCTGTGAAACTGGTTCCATGGGCCAAAAAGTGTAAAATTCTCTAGTCAGTGCCTATGTATAGTTTGATGCCTAACCACAACATTTAAGAAAGTTGTTCTTTCAACAACACATGTTGGATGGACAGGGTTGGAGACCTGGTCATTTAATAGAAAAGTGTGGGAAATGTAATGCTATTTAGAACTTTCATGTGAACTGCTTTGATAGCAAGCTTGCTCGTAAGTTTTAAGCTTAGATTTATTTAATGCTGAATAGAGACTAGCACAATAGACACTAACAAAACCTTGAAGTGTTTCCTTTCCCTTGAAGTTAAATAAGAACTCACCCCAACTCCGTAATAAAAGATGATTATATACAGCACTGCTGGGGTGGCTTAGTGGACTGAGCGCTGGCCTGTAAACCAAAAGGTTGCTGGTTTGATTCCCAGTCAGGGTACATGCCTGGGTTGCAGGTCAGGTCCCTGGTTGGGGGTAAGGGAGAGGCAACTGATTGAGGTATCTCTCGCCCATTGATGTTTCTCTCCCTCCCTCTCTCTCTCAAAAAAATTATATATAGATTATATAATAGATTATATATAGAAATATATTCCTGCCAATCCATTAACCACTGTGTATAATGCCTGATTATCATTTAATTTTTTACCTTTGTATAGTAAAGGAGGACCAGTACTATTTTTGTTCTCTTAATCATTTAAAATCTTGAACAATGGAAGCTTGTAGTATGGCAGAATCACCGATGTTTCCTCAACCCTGTTCACATAAAACTACATACTGTGATGTAGTTATTTTGTTGTTAAGCATCTCTAACTTTGTATTGAGTTGCTCTTTTACAATTCAGTCATATGCACTGTACAGAGGTCTTGCACACCATATGCAAGCAGACCATGTTCATAAATTCCTTATGTGACAGGGCTTATTAGATCCATCCAACAAGTCTGCTGATAGGTGGTTCCAATTCTTGATAGAAAAATAAAGGATTGTACAGAAAACGGACAGGTACATTCATAGTGTGATACAATACAGGTAATTATAAACAGACAAATCCTTCAAAAGGGTAGATGACGATTTTTATTATTACAAAAGCGAGTAGTTTTAAACTTGTTACTTGAGTAACTGCAAGAACAGACTAAGGGCTTAATCCTCACACAGGCACCAAGTCAGGCACAGTAGGTAGCTACAAATCATAAGAAAAAGGTTTCTTTACTTCGGAGTCCCATAATTCTGCTATGTTTTGGAATTAGCCCCCCCCCCCCCAAAAGCAAACCTAATCAGTTCCCTTTAAAAAAAATAAATAAATGAGAGCTAGGTATTAATCTGCTGTCTAGTGAAAACTGGTCACTAAATCCTGGCCTGAGAGAGATCCACATTTCCTTTAGAACAAATAGAAGGAACTAGCTAAGGTGTATCAATTTCTGTGAGCCCAACATGAATCCTTAAAATGCAGACCTTCCAAGCTCAGGCCTGTTTCAACCAATTCGTGTGGATGATAGCCTGAGGAATGCAGGAGCTCCAGCTCTAGCACACTCTTCCTGGGCAGCAGGAAAGGAGGTAGCAGGGACTTGGGCTGACATCTGAAGCACTAATCAATGTGCCTGGCAGAGGGGAGCCTCAGGAAGCACAAAATGTCATTTCACCTTTGCTGCCCACAATCCTGAGGTTTCCACATTAAATTTTAAATGGCACAAGGCAGAAAAGACAATTGCCATTCCAAGAGTTGCTTAAGAAATCCTGTATAATTTTCTGCCTAATCAGACATGGTGCCTATCTGCTCTTCCCTTTTATTGGAGAATATAAAGATTTTAATCTCCATCCCCACACCTCCAGGGCCCTTATTACATTCCATAGTAAACAACTTGGCTAGCATAGTACTGTTTCAAGGAAGCATAGGATTAGAGGTATGTGAAAGTGTATTTATTGAAGGAAGACTTATGTTCTAGGATATTGGAAATAAACAATATCCTAGAGCCAAAACCATTACAAGTTGAACCAAATATACCCTGTCTGAATTCTGGCAGTAAATTGGTTCAAATGGGATACACTGAACTATTACATAAAAGTAAAAACACTTCCTATTCCATTTACTATGAAATCTAGTATAACCAACTGACTGCTAAATTTAAATCTAGTCTTTTGAGTTGTGCTATGTAATTACATTTATTTAACAAGTTGCTGCCATGGCTAGATCTCTACAGAAAGAAACAAGATCATAAATGTATTAGATGGCATCAGCTAAAATCACTGAGAAATTTGCTGGAGGAAATAAAAGCTGTATTATTTGGAGACAGAAAATTGTCTCCTACATCCTATTGATTGCTATCTACCCTACATATGTCTGTGAGAGGATTAATGGCACAGATTATTCTGATAAAGTAGGTCAACACTGAATATAACAATCAACCTACAATCAGAGCTATAGTGCTGGAACCAGAATTTTCACAAAGGGTTTAAAGGCTGAAAGTTGCCTGATTTTAAAAGCTGTAATAGAACCTATTTGTCCCTTGACTACCTTAAATCCCTATCAAAGCAATGATGCTATCATCCGTGAAGCAGCAGTCCATGAGGAAGTCCATGCCAATGAGGAAAGGTGCTAGAGTGCTGTCATGTGGAACAGTCATCAAAAAAGGTCACATCACGGAGTAATTAGTATAACTATAGTGTTCTTAAAGATTGCCAGGGACTTTAGCTGATTTTTTTCAAAAGTTCATCATGGAAGCAGTTTTTGACCATAGGTTCATCTTTTTCTTGGGCTGCAAAACTGCATCTGGTTGAAAATATCACCCAAAATATCTGCAGCACTTCAGCTGAGAGGATGCTGGTAACTGTTCCAGGGCATCACAGTCAAAGTCCATCCCATATTGTGAAAGCAGTTTTTGTAGTTTACGTAACTAACAGACAATTATGAATTACCTCGTTACAGTGAACAGCCTGTACTCTTACAATTTTACAGAGTTTTTACATTTAGTTATCACATATTTCAAGACTTTCAATTCAAACAGAAATATACATGGGCTTAATTATTCAAGAACTTTACTATTTTGTTACCTAAGTTCATGGCAGCACATACTCAGTTTAGCTCTTTTGATTTTACACAGATTTTCACTAGGTAAGTCTTTTTTGCAAATAAAAACCATGAAATATATACCCCCCACAGTAAGAAATAAGGGTTTAGAATGGTAGTTATTTATTTTAATATCTTCTATTAAATTCAGTTAATTAAAAAAACTATAATTAAATAACCTAGCATGAAAATTATATAATAAACATCATTAATGTAAAAAGATGCAAGGAGAACTGTTATCCTAACATAGCTATGCTAAAGATAAAGAAATGTTTAGGTCTGTAATATCCTATATCTGCCACCAATACCCTATTTTTGCATTAAACACACCTGCACTTGCAAAAGACAGAATGACAGCATAGGAATCTATTGCTTTTTAAAGGTCCAACATCTCCATACACTGCCAGTTCACTTCAGACATTTCCTCGTCCAAATAACTATCCATTGTAATTAGGAGTTTAAAATTCAGCAACTGTAAGTGAGAATACTTTCCATAAACATCAAAGCCCATAAAGTATATGGTATTGGTTAATTTAACAATTAGGTTTCTTTCAAATAATTATTTGCACAAATGTGCAAGAATCCATAATTTTTTTCATAATTACATTTATATTTGTCATTTTTTAGAGGTAGGCCCTTCACAGTTGATATCCATGTTTTACTTAAGAGTGTTGGCAACATGCACATAATATTCTAAAAGTGTAAATGTTTTTATTTTTAGTGTGAATGTTTTAATAGTAAGCATAACTGGTTTTTAAAATGTGTTCAACTTAAAAATGGAAATCTTTGGAAGTAATTTCAACAACTCTTGAGCTTTTAAATATTCATTAAAATCAAAGCAATTGCTAGTATCTTGTTATTAACTTGAAAGTACAAAAAGTTATTGTGTATTGATTAAAACTCCTGTATTTCCCAGAAAAATAAAAGCCCAGACATTTGCAGACATAATAAAATTAAAATTCATGCAATTTAATAGCCACGAGTATAGTTATAGGAAGCTGCAGGGCTAAAGGACAATAACTTTGCTCTAAGATACAGCCCAGTCATGAAAAGAATGAGATTTCTATAGTTAACAGAATTAAATTAAATTTCAGGTTTTGTGACTGGAAATATAGCTTGACTTAAGTTTTTCTGAGGAAGATTACAGGGTAGAAAAATGTCATTAAATAAATAGTTACAAACTTATCTTATTTAGAGATAAATCACAAATGTAAAAGACACTAAGTCTTCAACAAATGGCAACACTCAAAATCGGGTGGGTGGAAGAGCTTCTGATAAACCGAGAAATTCTCTCTTCCATTTCCCATTTATTCTCATTAAAAATTTCAAAGTCATAACAGTTACTGCAGAAAGTCATCCTTCAATCTAAAAACCAGCACAGTGCTGCACTGTGGTTCATCCAAAGCATAGTTTAACAAATTTCTGTTTTATATTTAAGAAAACAATCGATTTCAAATAGTTGAGAAAAACTTATATTGTGCTTGATTCTACTTACCACTGTTAACTTTAATCTGTTCAGATTTAGAAGGTTCCTAAGTATGTGTTCATTTAGTTGCTAGATGAGATTTAGCTTTAACCAGCAAGGAGCACTCAACCTTTAAAAATCAGTGATATAAATAATAAACTGAGTAATTTGCAGAACTGGCACTTGCAATTAATAGTTTTCATACTAGATACATGCAACTCTTATAAATTCTAAAAGAGGCATTTTTGCCAGGTCTCAACATGCTTTCTTTATTGTAAATTCCACTAATTGAACATGTTAATGGAATTTTCTGGAGGGGTACAATTATGCTTTACTTATAAAACTACAGTATGCTTTTATTTTAAAACTTACTGTTTAAGAAATGTTAAAATATAAATTGGCAGAAAATAACTGATAGACCTAATAAAGCAGTGTCACAGTTGCATAAAGACATTTAATATTGTATGTATGCATTACCATCAAAAAGAAAGGATCAAACTAATTCTTTCCTTTAATACAAACTTGAATATTGTTTGTAAATGCCTCATTTAAAGTAGTGGATAGGGAAAGAGTTTAGAAAAGTCCAAGTAATAAAATGTACTCAATTACTTGGTAAAGTTAAAAAGCTAATGCAACAGTGTTATATCTAGATAAAAAACATTATTCAAAAGCAATTCAAATACCGAAAAGGGTTTCAAATTGAATATTTTATTAACATGGTAGTTGTCTTTGTAACATGTGCACACACACTCGCACACTCAGAATGATCTGCCTTGGGGAAAAAAAGACTATGTATGCCTAAGGGGAAAATGAAAAATTAAAAAATTTCTGTAGGTTTTCATTATTGTAGGCAATTATGTCCACATCACTTACAAAGCTATTGCCAAACCTGTCCAAGGAAGCAGTTTGAGAGGGGAAGAAAAAAATCTTGGGAAAAATTCAACAGTGGCATAGCAGAGCTCTCAATATGAGAAAGCTGACATAATGTGGACTTTTGCTTTGAATTTTGTCTTTGCAAAATATGGGGAGAGGTTTGTCAATGGGCAGAAAATAAGAGAAGGCGGTGTGAAGTAGGCTTTTGCAGTCAATTTTCCTCACAGTATTGTGCAGGGTCATCAAGAAAATGCTTAGTCTTTCTCTGGAACCAGTTTCAGAACTTTTCCAATTGCAATGGTCTTACCTAAAAAATGAAATAAAAGAACAAGAACAAAAACAAAAAACCTTCAGTAGTTAACAGCAAAGCCATCTAAGGCATTAAAACTTACTATTTTAAATTATAAAAATAATTTTTACAATGTAAATTACTAATTAACTGGTTTTACCAAAGACATGATTTCTGATTAGGAAGTCTTAAGAATTGGGTCTTTTTAGGGGGAACTGAAAAGACCTGACTTCCTATATCAAAACCCTTTCTTTGGTAAGTAAAATGTGGAATATCAGTTCAATGGAATACTATTTTGCAGCAAAAAGGAAGGCATTATATGTATAGCTAAATGTCAGAAATATACGGAGTGGAATAAATTACAAACCACAAATTTTATGATTCTATTTATATGGCTTATCCAAAAAGCAAATAGAAAAAAAATGAGGTGATTGCCTAGATCAGGGCATAGAAGAGTAGGAAGTGACTGTAAATAGGTGTAAGAGCTTTTTTTAAAAGATACTCTAAACGTTCTAAAATTCGAATGTGATGACTATCCAACTCTGTAAACATACTAAAGTTCATTGAATTTTACACTTAAAAAAGGCCCATTTTATACTATGTAAATTATCTCAATAAAGCTATTAAAAAGGGCTATCCATCTTGTGAAGAAAACATAAAAACCAAGTTACCTTTTAGAAAAAAATTCCTGGGGTTAACAATTCATGCTACATTAATTTCCTCTGATTTTATCTATTTATTCACTATCACCAAGCAGATTTTTTAAATGAAAAAAAAAAATTAAGGACTTTAAAATAAAACAAATACTGTCTTTATTTCTCTGAACTAAGGTGCAGGGACCACATTCATCATTATGTACCCAGTGTTCAGCACAGTTCTTGACATGCAGTCTTGACAGCCAATTTTTTGCTGAATGGAATCAGAACTAACATGTGAATTGACTTTTGTATATTTCAACTGAACCAAAGTTTTATGTACATTTCCCAACCTTAAAATAGTTATCTTAGTTAACAATCCATGGAGAAATGTTTAATGAAATAATTTTGTTTTCATGATACCAAGGAATTTCATGGATATAAGACAGGAAAGTTACAGCTGTTCAGATTCACTCAGAGGTAGGCAGAAATGGACACATGCACAAAAGAACATTAATATTAGACTGTCAATCTATGTATCCCTTTTATTCCCACCCCCATATCAGTGTAGTGAATTTACCATATCGGGCTTTAAAATTATTTCTGACCTCAAAAATGACAGATGTGTACCTCATGCTCACCTGGCAAAATCTTGAAAGGGCAAGATAGGCTTTAATCACATATATTATAAAGGATTTCATCATAGAAAAGTCGTTCAGCACGTAAATGATTCTGAAAACCCAATTCTTGCAAAATATTAAAATGCTTCCTCTAGAGCATTACTGCCAAAATTCATGGTTAATTTTACCTGCTGTTGAATTAATTTACCTCATAAAACATTTATTATGAATATATATTACAGACGATACATCCAGGTTCTCTCTGAACTAGCTGTAATGTGCACTGTACTCCATGAAGACTACCAAAGCTAAGCATACTAGACATACCACTGGCCATCAATTTAAAGACTTACCCTCATCTCTCAAGGTAAAGCGGCCCATCTGAGGGAAGTCTTTAAAGGTCTCAAGGCAGATGGTTCCTGCTGTCCTTAGACGAGCAATGCACACTTGATCTTGTTTCACAAAACGGGGTCGAGTCTTACTTTTTTCTCCTGATTTTTTGTCTACCAAGCAAATTAAGGCCTATCCAAGAAAAAAGGATGAGAAGACATCAGAATAATACCAAATAAAAGAATCTTTAATAGCAGTAGTACAAATAAGAGTACATCACTATTGTTGGTCAGAAATTATAAAGATGAAATTATTTTAAAACACACAAAAACACCAATTATCTTAAAACTCACTGTTATTTCAACTTCCTCAATACAGGTATGAATATGCAGCACCGCATTATAACCTGGGCAGATGATGGATTTGTGCTCTATAATCACTATCTGTCAAACAAAAAGAAAATTCACATCTTTATCTCCAGGGCAAAAACGAATTGAATGTGCTAAAGTGCTACACAGTATCACAAGAATGTGTAACTCACCATCTTAAGTTTATTTTTGTGTTAGAGGCAGTAGGTCAGGTCACTTGACCTCGAAGAATGAACTCTGATATCCTTACCCTACTGATCTTCTTGGCAACTGCCCCAACTTTAAAAACAGCAGCCAGACTCTTTCCCCTCTGGGAAGCCTTTCCTTTCCACTTCCCCCCAAAAGTCATTACTGCTCACATGCTACTGCTACTGGCTTATGCCACGCCCCACCCCAGATGTGAACTTATCATAGTTTTATCCATTTCTCAATACCCAAGATCTACTAAAAGTAAACAACCGTGTAGCTGGCATCAAAATTTAATTTGATTAGTTGTCACACATTGGAACAGAACTGAAAAGTTCTGTGGGATACACTAATCATTTACTGTCACTTTCCTGGTGAGGTCATGTTGCTAATAACATCAAGAAATTGTGCATATTTTCCTGTCTGGAAAGTTATTTGTCCTGAAGAAGACAAATACTGACTTCCAAGGCAACTTGCTCTACTTAAGTGAAAGACACTAAGTAATGACATATATAAACAGGAGATTAAAAAAACAAAAAGGAATTTACAAATACTACCAACCCAGTAAGAACATGTACCATCTCGAAGACCTTATATTGTGAGATACCTTATGGCTATTGTGATACACGATTTATTCTATTCAATTCCCCTTCTATACACAATGATATGTCATCAATAACCAGAACAAAGGACACTTAAACTCTAATTTCAACTAATAGTAAAAATCACTAAGACAACGATAATAGCTGGTTTACCTGGGCATCAAATGTGCGTCCAGAATGACAAAGATTATTAGGATCACAAAGTATAAATCCTGGAAGAATCTCCTCTTCTTCAATTCCTTTCAGTCTGATTTTGAGGTTTTCACCTGGGGCTACAGAATCAGTTTCTACATCATCAGAAAGGATTCCAAGAACTTCCACGTTGTGCTTAAAAAGAAACCAAAATCTGAGGTTTTCTGAAGCATTGACTCACTGCATTACAGATCATAAAATGACCTGTTTGCTGAGTGATTGCAACTCACATTTTTCTGTTCTTGTTGATTAGCCAAAATATTTACTGCATTTGTATGGCATGACCTTAATGAAAATCATATCCTGAAGTACAGCTGCCAATCAAGATGCTGTCCTTTTAATAGCACATCCTAGTAATTTCCAGAAAGAATACAGTATAATGTGGCATTTGGCTTTTTAACCTTTTCACAATTAAATGTTAAATTTAGCATGGATTTTAATTTATGAATATAATTTTTATTGTGGAATTCCAGGATTTAGTAGACATAGCTTCCATTATCTTTGACTCCCCAAATACCTGAAGAGTTGACTTCTTAAAAGTTTTTTTAACAATTAAGCTTAAAATACATTACTGACTATTTAGAGAACATTCTGATGGCTGACAGGTAGAAGGGGGATTTAAAAAATTAAGTTTCTTTTCATGGAAATCCCTGAGCTTTTGAAAAGTTCTGGCTCCTTTCTAATATTTTCAAAAGGAGAGCTAAATGGAAAGAGCATTACTAATTCTTACCTTGTTTGGCATCATCACAAGTTGCTGGCCTTTACAAATAGATCCTGATTCTAGCTTCCCTAGAACCACAGTGCCCATATCCTGTTGAAATTTAAAATAAAAAATTAAGTTTTGGATTTTTATTACCATTCTACAATAGTTCAGCAACCCAAAGTGAATTCTTTCAGAGCTTACTCAAAAAAAAAAAAAAAAAAATCATTAGATCAAGTGGTAGAATGTTACTTGTTCAAGGTCTCACAATCTCTGAGCCTGTTTCCTCATTTATAAAATTGAAAAAACAATACTTGTTCAAGAAATTTAGCATGGAGCTATTTAAGAATAAAGTATTTGGCAGGAAGGGCAAACTATTACATTGATATTGCAGTCGAAAATAATGATTCTTAAAAAAAAAGGCTAATATCCAGTGGTGAGGCTGTCATAAAACTACCTCTGATATACTGTTGGTGGCAAAATAAATTGGCACCGTATTTTGGAAGGCTTTTTGTCGATATACATAAACTTTAATGTGTAAATCCTTTGAAATAACAGTTTCACTTGTATGACTTTCTCTCTAAAAAATTATCATTAACTCAATGGGAAACAGTTGAAATAATTTAAGGTGGTTGAACAACTTATTGTCTATAATAAGAAATAATATGCAGTTAATAAAAAAGAGACATCTATGTTATGCTATTAAAATTGTTTCATAATTTAAAACAAAACACAAAACAATTGTTTCACTCCCTGTAAAACAGTTTCTTGAACATTTTGGATACCTTGTATTTATCCACAATTGGCAGCCTGATTGGTCCATCAACTGATCTATTGAAGTTTGGCAAATTATCCAGATATGGAATAAATGGCAATCCACTGAGAACATAAAAATATCCATGAAAGAGGGTCAACATAAATATCAAAATTTTAGGCAGTTACACGACTGTAACTTTTATACAAAGAACGTGATCATAACAATGTTTTCATGTAATCCATGTACTCGTCTCATTCAGCCATTTATTATCCAGTTCATCTCATTTATTTCTCAGAAAGTTAAATAACAAAACAGTTCAGTATAATATGAAAAACCTTTCCCATTAACACTTAAGATTTAGAAAAATATTTTATAGCAAATAGCCCACATAATGTAATAAAATGACTACACTTTTACTTAATTTTTATGGATTTTTCCAGCTCTGCAATTGGAATTCCGTAAAATAATTCTCCCTTTCAAACTATAGTTTATAAGAGTAGTAAAATACTGTCAAGATGGCAATGCTCCCCAAACTGATCTACAGATTTTATGCAATTCCTACTGAAATCCCGGCTGCCCTTTTCTTTCTTTCTTTCTTTCTTTTTTTTTTTTGCAGAAATTGTCAGGCTAATCCTAATGTTCATATAGAAATTCAATGAACCCAGAATAACCAAGCAATCTTGGGGGAAAAAATAAAACTAAAAAATTCAAAGACTCACTCAACCCAATTTGAAAACTTAACAAAGCCTGGTATCATCACAAGAATTCACCTTACAAAAAAAAGTAATCTAAAATAAAATGCAGGGACTTCTGGCCAAGATGGAGGCATAGGTAGTTGCACTGTGCCTCCTCGAGCAACCAAAACTAAGGACAACAAGAATTTAGAAACAAAAAAAAACAATCAGAACTGAGAGAAATGAACCAAACGGAAGTCTACCATTCATCCAGACTGGTAAGGAGGGGCAGGGTCAGAGGCCTACAGAGAGGGGTCGCGGGGTCCTGGGAGGAAAAAGCGGTGGCTGGCAAACTCAGGCACGCAGGGCGCAGATGGCAGTTGTCAGACCCCAGAAGCTTGGGGGCAGCTGACCGGTGGCAGACCCTGGGTGTTGGAAGCAATGAGCAGACCCAGTGAGGTGTGCAAGACAGCTGGCTGTCTGCAGCCACACATTCGAGTGCAGACAAACTAAGCAAAAACGGGCAGCAACCAAGCAACCCAGGGAGCCAGCGCCGGGAAACAAAGCCTGAAGGCACCGACTGAAAACACCTGTGGGAGTTGAAGCCGGGAGATTCTCAGCTTCATAAGAGGCTCCTTGGGGAAACCCACAGAGTCCGAGAAAGTACACAAACCCACCCGCCTGGGAGCCAGCACCAGAAGGGCCCAATTTACTTGTGGGAAGCAGCAAAGGGGACTAAAGTCCTAGAGAGAGTGGAGCAGGCACCACTGTTCCCTCTCAGACCCCGCCCCCACATACAACATTACAACCCAGTGACTGAGGTGCCCCGCACTGGTGAACACCTAAGGCTCTGCCCCTTATACATAATAGGCTCGACCAGACCACAGAAAAAAAATAAAAGTAAAATTAAAAAGATGGCTCAAACAGAATTAAAAGCCCCAGAGCCAGTTTTTTTTAAGCAACCGAGAGATAGCCAACCTATCAGATGCACTGGTGAGCAGGATGCTGACAGAATTGGTTGACTTTGATCATAAATTAGATGAACAAATGCAGGCTACGATAACGGAAATGAAGGAAAATGCACAGGGAACCAATAGTGATGGAAAGAAAACAGGGTTTCAAATCAATGGAAGGGCCCAGAAGGAAGAAAGGAACAACCAAACAGAAAAGAATGAAGAAACACCTGGCTGGCATAGCTCAGTGGATTGACCGTGGGCTGGGAACCAAAGTGTCCCAGGTTCGATTCCCAGCCAGGGTACATGCCTGGGTTGCAGGCTATAACCCCCAGCAACCGCACATTGATGTTTCTCTCTCTCTCTATCTCCCTCCCTTCCCTCTCTAAAAATAAATAAATAATCTTAAAAAAAAAAAAGAATGAAGAAACAAGAATTCAAAAAAATGAGGAGAGGCTTCGGAACCTCCAAGACATCTTTAAATGTTCCAACATCCAAATTATAGGGGTACTAGAAGAAGAAGAAGAGGAAGAGCAACAAGTGGAAAAGTTATTTGAACAAATAATAAAGGAGAACTTCCCCAATCTGGCAAAGGAAAGACTTCCAGGAAGTCCAGGAAGTTCAGAGAGTCCCAAAGAGGTTGGACCCAAGGAGAAACACGCCAAGGCACATCCAACTTACATTATCCAAGGTAAAAATGACGGAGAGAATTCTAGAAGCAGCAAGAGATAAGGGGACAGTTACCTACAAGGGAGTTCCCATCAGAATATCAGCTGATTTCTCAAAAGAGACCTTGCAGGCAAGAAGGGGCTGGAAAGAAGTATTCCAAGTCACGAAAGGCAAGGACCTATATCCCAGATTGCTCTATCCAGCAAAACTTTCATTCAGAATGGAAGGGGAGATAAAGTGCTTCTAAGATAAGGCCAAGTTAAAGGAGTTCATCATCACCAACCCCTTATTATATGAAATGTTGAAGGGACTTATCTAAGAAAAAGAAGATAAAAAATATGAACAGTAAAAAAAGACATCAAACTCACAGTAACAACCATACCTAAAACAAAAGCAAACTAAGCAAACAACTAGAACAGGAACAGAACCACAGAAATGGAGATCACATGGAGGGTTAGCAACAGGGAAGTGGGAGGAGGAGAGAGGGGGAAAAGATATAGAGAATAAGTAGCATAGACAATAGGTAGAAAATAGGGGGAGGTCAAGAATAGTATGGGAAATGTAGAAGCTAAAGAACTTATGACACATGGACATGAACTAAAGGGGGGGAATGTGGGTGGGAGGGGGTGGGCAGGGTGGAGGGGAGTGAAGGGGGGGAATGGGACAACTGTAATAGCATAATCAATAAAATATATTAAAAAAGAGTACAAAAAAAAAATGAAATGCATACCTATATGTAATAGGCTTAGAAGAAAATAATAGGGCTAATTCTTCCTGACTGGATTAGGCAGTTTTTCTACGTATGACACCAAACGCACAATCAATAAAAGAAAAAATAAAACTAGATTTCATCAAAAGTAAATCCTTTTACACTTCAAAGGACACCATCAACAAAGTGAAAAGACACAGATGGGAGAAAATACACATCATGTGTTTGACAAGGGACTTGTATCCAGTGCACAAAGAACTCTTACAACTCAATAACAAAAAGACAATCCAGTTAAAAATGGGCAGAGGTCCTGCTATTTTTAAAGCCAAACTTACAGTCAACATTTTCTTAAATTATTTTTAAGACATAAAGTTTTTTAAAGGAAAAAAGATTACTTACATGTACCAAGGACAGAGATCTGATTGCTCTTTAAGATTTGCTCCAGTCAGTCCTGAGCAGGGCATGAAGTGAATGTCCTTTTTGGGATTGAAGCCAACTTTTTTCAAAAATGGCACTAGTTTCTCTTTACATTCTTCATATCTATAATATTTATAAATAACTCAATTATAATATAACAAAACTATCCTTTATTTCACTAACATGTGTATTAAAAAACCAGCAAGATATCTAGGTTTACCTTTCATTGCTCCAGTTCACTGTCGGATCATCCATCTTATTAATAAGCACAATTAAGTGTTTTACACCTGCTGTCTTTGCCAACATTGCATGTTCTCTTGTCTGTCCTCCTTTTTCAAATCCAGTTTCAAACTCTCCTTTTCTGGCAGAGATTACCTATTCCAAGAAATCAATAGTTTATTCCTATACATTCATGTTTACCCTTCTAGCAGCAAACTATTTCTCCTTTTGGTTTTATCAGAAGATTTCTGCAAGACTATAGAAGAAAATGAGTCATAATATACATGTTTTTTAATATCACAATGTCTAAGTGGTTTAAGATGTAAGTATTGAATAAACGTTTCTTCCAATCACCTCATTTTCCAAATCTAGTATGCCTACATGTTTTACAATTCAAACATGTATGTAATTTTCCCTGGCCACTGTGGCTCAGCTGGTTGGAGCATCGTCCCATAGACAGAAAGGTCGCAGCTTTGATTCCTAGTCAGGGCACATACCCAAGCTGTCAGTTCAATCTGTCTATAGCTGCACACACAAAAGAAACCAATGTTTTGCCCTTGCCCTTCTTGCCTCCTCCCTTTTTCTCTCCCTCCCACACACATACACTCCCCTAAAAAGCAATGAAAAAAATGTCCTCAGGTGAGGATTAAAAAAAGTATGTGAATTAGTTAGTTCATTGACCAAAATAATTTGAAAAATGACAGAAGACCTTTATAAAACAGATCATTTTTTATAAAGACTTATATTTTAGAGAGAGGGGAAGGGAGGGAGAAATAGGGAGAGAAACATCAATGTGTGGGAGAAACATCCATCGGCTGCCTCTTGCACTCGCCCAACTGGGGGGACTGGGCCTGCAACCCAGGCATGTGCCGTGACTGGGAATCAAACAGATGACATTTTGCTTTGCAGGATAACACCTGACCAACTGAGCCACACAGGTCAGGGCCAGATCATTTCTTACTCATTTTGATATCCAGTACATAATGGCGGGCTTGGCATTTAGTGGACACTAAGTTCTGACACAGTAATAGATAATAGCAATGGCAGAGGAAAGCTGAAATATATTTTCATAAGTAAGCCAAACTGACTGCTTTCTTGAGCAATCAATTTGATTTCTTGAGCAGATCAATGAGACAAAAGTGAAAATTATGACCATGTATATTATAGTTCACTACAACCCAAATTCTGGCTTTTAGAAAATAAATTTAAATACTTAAAAATTTAAGTGTGGCTGCTAACAAATACAAAGAGGTGACTTGGAAATGTCTTTCTTACCAGTACAGCCAAATCAGCTTGAGAAGCACCACCAATCATATTTGGAACAAAACTCTTGTGGCCAGGAGCATCAAGAATTGTGAAATGCTTCTTTTCTGTTTCAAAATAGGCACGACCCACTTCTACTGTTTTACCCTTGTCTCGTTCTTCCTGATTTGTGTCTAAGGCCCAAGACAAGTACCTGAAATGATAAAGAATACTGGTAAGAACATAAGAATTTAAAAGATATTCTTCTTCATTAAACATGTAATTAATCATATCTAGCTTTATGTCCATCATACAACATTTAACATACAACAATTTTCATTTATGCCAGGAACAGGCATAAATGAAAATTGAGAGGATAAAACATTATTTGAATCAAACACCTGGAACTTTTCCATATATCCACTGTCAACTATATATTCTAGAAGTAAAACATGATTTATGAAAGAAAGACTACTTTAAGTACCAATGCCAATATCACCATGATTTTAAGTATTAAGTTTCTCTATATTTCATTTTTATAATCATCTGTCACAAAATGTAATACAAATAATGGCTCTCTACAGATATTTTAAAAAAGGGAAGGCCACTATAACCTGCCATTTGAGAACAATAGTTACTTACTAAAAAGTATTTCAATATTACTTTGCCAGGTAAAAACTAAGTTCAAATCATCCATAATAGTAGGCATTAGTTTAGATTATCTTATTATCTGTATTTCATAGTATGTACTCATTATTACAGTTTTCCCCTTACAGAGCAATATAACAACAAAAAACCAATGTCCCATTCAAATAAAGCTTGTTAACTTTTTAGAAACAAAATAGATGAGGTTAGAAAAAAGAAAAAAGTTAACCTTTTCTCTCACCACTCAAGGAAACCACTGTCAATAATTCCTTCCATTCTCTGTGTCTATACAGTTGATGATCATATTCTAAGTACTATTATGTTTTCTGCTTTCTCCCCAAATTCCACTCTAATATAAGTTCTGTTCCTGATTAATATAAATTATTTAAATGTAATTTTTAGTGGTTAGATAATGGCCCAATTAAATGGATGTTTTATAATTTTTTCAACAAGTCTCTTCTTACTGGATGTTTGGTTGTTTCCAAATTTTCTCTTAAGTTTTGAAGTCATCAGGAAATAATCTGCATAATCTGAGGGGAAAGAAACTTCCTTCGTTATGACACCATTTCAGTAGACTACAAGAACAGTAAGTGGGCAGCAGTTCCTTAAAAGTAATTTATAATGTCATAAAAATTTAGCATACCAAGTTTCTCTGTTTTTTTCTTTAGCTTCTCTTTCATATTTCTCAAGTGTCCTTTTGTCAACCATTCCAGTCAAATACCTAAAAACGTTTAAAGAGAAAAGTAAACACAAATTACTCAGTGAAATTAGGAAAACTTTAAAGTACTTAAAAAGGAATTTCAACTCTAAAAGTATAGCTATTTTAAAGTAAAGGTACCTCTGGTGGATGATTAGATCAGGAAAGTTTCAGTAGAAAAGATTTTTGTATAGTCTCAAGTGATCTCCCACAAAATAAAGGGGAAAAATAACTTCACAGTGGAGAATCCTGGTTGATAGCACCTTAACTAAGTAATTTTGGCTAATATTACCAGTAGTAAATAAAACATACTGAATATAGACATTTTTTACCCCAACTGGATGCCCTGAGAAGAGTGCAACATATCTTTTGTGATATACTTGCCCAAAATACCTAACTTCAGTCTGATCATAAAAAGCACTAGTCAGCCCAAATTGAAGAATTTCCTATAAAATAAGTAAATACCACTCTTCAAATTATGAAGGTTGTGAAAGACATGACTGAAGAAATGTTGCATGTTGAAAAAGACTAAGGAGACAAAACAACTAAATGCAATATTGAATTCTACAACAGAAAAACCTTAGTACAGAAGCTGGTGAAATTCAAATAGATTTGTTATTTAGTTAATAGTATTATAGCAATGTTAAGTTTAAGTTGTGATGGCTGTACTATAGTTATGTAAGATGTTAACATTAGGGTAGGTTAAATGAAAAGTATATGAGAACTCTGTGCTGTTTTTTGTAACCTTTCTGTAAGTCTAAAACTAATTCAGAGTAAAAGTTATTTTAAAAAAGCAAATGTAAATACTATATTAAAAAGAAGATTCCAAAAGTGTTGGTTAGGCAATTAAGTATTCCTAATACATTTCAATATTTAATATTTTAAAACTATTTCCCAAAGTGGGATTATTTTTTCCATTTAATTTTTAAGTATATTTTATTGATTATGCTATTACAGTTGTCCCATTTTTCTCCCTTTTGCTCCCACTCCACCCAGAACCCCCATTCTCTCCAGTATTTCCCTGCTAGTCCATGTCCATGGGTTATGCATGTAAGTTCTTTGGTTTCTCCATTTCTTATACTGTTCTTAACTAGCTATTTTGTACCTACCATTGTGCTTCTCATTCCCTGTAACTTTTCTCCCATTCTCCCCTTTTCCCCAACCTGCTGATAACTGTCCATGTGATCTCCATTTCTGTGATTCTGTTCCTGTTCTAGTTGTTTCCTTAGTTTTATTTTTTTGAGGCACAGTTGTTGATAGTTGTGTTTGTTGTCATTTTGCTGTTTATAGTTTTGATCTTCTTTTGTCTTAGGTGAATGCCTTTAACATTTCATATAATAAGGGCTTGCTGATGATTAATTCCTTTAGCTTTACCTTGTCTGGGAAGCACTTTATCTGCCCTTCCATTTCAAATAGCAGCCTTGCTGGATAGAGCAATATTGGATATAGGTCCTTGCTTTTCATGGCTGAATACTTGCCAGTCACTTCTTGCCTGCAGGTTTCTTTTGAGAAATCAACCTTATGGGAACTCCTTTGTAGGTAACTGTCTCCTTTTCTCTTTCTGCTTTTAAGATTCCCTCTTTATCTTTAAACTTAGGCATTTTAATTATGATGTGCCTTGGTGTGGGCCTCTTTGGATCCAACTTGCTTGGGACTTTCTGAGCTTCCTAGACTTGTATGCCTATTTCTGTCACCAAAATAAGGAAGTTTTCTTTCATTATTTTTTCAACTAAGTTTTCAGTTTCTTGCTGTTACTCTTCTCTTTCTGGTGCCCCTATTGATTTGGACGTTGGGACGTTTATAAAGTTGTCCCAGAGGTTCCTAAGCCTCTCTTCATTCTTTTGAATTCTTATTTCTTCTTTCTGTTCCAGTTGAATGTTTATTTGTTCCTCTTGTTCCACATTGTTTATTTGAATGCTCGTTTCCTTCCCTTCACTGTTGGTTCCCTGTATATTTTTCTTTATTTCACTTTGTATAGCCTTCACTTCTTCCTTTACTTTGTTGCCATACTCAGTCATTTCTCTGAGCACATTTGATAGCCAGTTGTTTAGAACTCTGCATCTAATATGCTGGCTATCTCCTAGTCATTTTGATCTGTTCTCCTGCAGCTTTGATCTGTTCTTTCATTTGGGCAATATTTCTCTGTCTCCTAACTTGTCAGTGCACCTGTTACATTGTAAAGGGCAGAGCCGTGGGTATTTGCCAGGGCACGGCAAACTGCTTTGCTGTGTTATGGCGCTTTATGTAGGGGAGGGGTCAGAGAAGGAACAATACTGCTTGCTCAGCTCTCCCCCCACTATCAGTCACTTCCCCTTCTTCCTGCAAGCAAATGGCACCGTTCCAGGTGTTGGCCTGGTGCTGATTCCTGGGTGGGTGAGCTTGTGTACATTCTAGGATTCTGTGGGCCCCTCAAATAGACTCTCCTGAGACTGGCAGTTTCTTCTGCCACCCCAACCCCCACTAGTTTTTACAGTTTGAGTTATGAGGCTTTATTTTCCCCATGCTGGAACCCTGAGTTGTGTGGTCTGTCTTGGGCTGGGATAGCTCCCCAATTGTTCTTCCTGGTTTTTATCCATATACGAATGTGGGACCACCCAGTCTGCCAGCTGCCGCCTCACACTTGTCCTCTCTTCCCCAGCTGCCCACCTCTGCCCCTCCTACTGATATGGATGAATGTTTCTTCTTAAACATCTTTGTCGTCAGACTTCCATACAGTTCAATTTTCTGGTAATTCTGGGTGGTTTTGTTTTTATATTGGTTGTTATCCTTCTTTTGGTTGTGCAAAGAGGTGAAGTGTATCTACCTATACCTCCATCCTGGCCGGAAGTCTCCAAAGTAAGATTACTTTAAATATTCCTTAGTAATTCCAGTTCTGGCTTTCATCTCTCTGGGTTCTCTGTGCAGTCTTTTATAGTGCATGTTTCTAACCATTTGGGTGTAGAATCCCAGTGAAATAGCAAGGAAAATTATAGCCAATAAGCAAAAAGTATGCATTCTAAAACACAATAGCAAATGGACCCAATACTTTTAAGTGAGAACTGGCAAGATTACCAATTAAGATTACTTAACAAGGCAAGACAATGATGACATACCCTCTCTATCAGGGGTGTCCAACCTTTTGGCATTTCTGGGCCACATTGGAAGAGGAAGAGTTGTCTTGGGCCACACATTAAATACACAAACACCAACAAAAACTGATGAGCAAAAAATAGGTTTTAAGTAAATTTATGATTTCGTGTTGGGCTGGATTCCTAGCCATCCTGTGCCACATGTGGCCGACAGGCTGCAGGTTGGATACCCCTGCATGCTCTGATGACAGTTTAAAGAAATGGGTCTAATCTAAAAGGGATGAAATATTTAGAACCTTTTAACTTAAAGATTTTTCAATACTAGGATACATTACTGACAGCCACTCATGGTGTCTTCATACCTTGATAATTTCTATAATGTGATAAAAAATTATCTTAGCATGTTAGCCAGATTATCTATCTCTGATTAAACCCACATAAATTTAAGGAATGATAAGGAAAAACCAGTTTCCTCCATGCATCAAATTCAAGAGCTGGTTTTCATTATTCCAAGAAAATTATATTCAAAGACTAAGATTTCCTATAAGCTCGGGTTGATTCTATATTAGTTTTTATTTAAAAAATGTAAAAGACAGCTTTCAGAAATATATTTTATTTAATATATTTATGTTACATGAGAGTCTGACAGTAGTAACAAAAGAATTTTAGTGACTGCCTACACTCCATCGGAAAATACTATGATCACATTGCAAAAATTACTTCTTAATATCAGCCTTCCCTATGGGTAATGTTATTTTATTATTAATTTTTCTTAACTTGGGGTGACCTGTTTTATATCCTTTGTATTATTTTATGAACATCTACAATTCCCAAAATTCACTCACTTAACTCTATTATTTAAGAAAAAATATACTTACATTATTTGCCCTCCAATGGTTGACTTGCCAGCATCTAAAAGTAATAACATCATCAACAATATGCAAAGCACAAGTGTAAAAAAATATTTTAAAAAGCCAACCAGTATATACACTTAATAGAACTAAAGATATGGTTTGGTATATACAGGATGAGGTAAAAGTAGGTTTACAACTGTGAGTCTATGAAAGAGTTTCTTATATTATTCTATTCTATTCTATATTATATTATATTCTTATATTATTATTATATTATCTTACACATGCACAACTGTACACTTACTCTTCTCTCACCCTGTTTAATTAAATCTTGCAAAAGCAACAGAAACTGTAGGAATCTAGGGCATAAGCCCTGGTTAAGTCCTCCCTTGGAAAATGAAGCTGCTAAGTCCCCCTACAGCTCCAATAACGTAGAACTACTTTATTGGTAAAGAACAAAAGAAAGAATTTTTTAACAGATTTGCTCCCTGAACTTCAGCTAAGAGTCTAGCAGAAGAAGAATAAAAATTACCCAAGGGGAGCCTCAGAGGACAGCAGAAATAGCCAAGAGTTGTGACTACATTTAGGTAGTCTGCCTTTCACCTTTAGCAAAGAGACAAGTGTTCCTATACAAATTTCAAAGGAGTTCTTGCTACCAAAAAAGTAGAATGGTGTATCATCATATTTAAGGGAAGGCAGTGATAAAGGGAAGAAAAAAAGGGTACATAGTTCTATTATTTTCTTCTCACAATTTTGGGGATAGGTCAGATGATTAAATATCTAAGTAAATCAAATGAGTGAGGTTTTTTTGTTTTTGTTTTTTTGTTGTTGTTTTTTTGGTGCTAAATCAGCAAACTGATTCCAAATTACTAATTCTCCTATCCCACAAAATCAAACTACCTAATAAGGTTAATACCACAAAATTAATAGGTTAAGTTCACACACTAAAAACGCACATTCCCTAGGATATTAACAGATGTCATAATATGCTCACCCATCATCAGTGGACTAGAGACTAATTATGCATTACACACAAATATACTGAAGCTTATTTTCTTCCAGTTTCCATGCCATTAAAAAATTGTTCATCTGCCTGACCTCTGAGAACAAAGTGTTGTTTCTAGATTATTCTGCTGGCTGAATAATCTAGAAAGTTACAGTTCAGTTTCACTAAACATCTCTAAGTCACTACATAAGATGTTCTGTTTTATGTGCCCAATAACTTTGGTCATTTCTTATCACAGCTATGAATATAACTTACCTACATGCCCAATGAATACTACATTCACATGTTCTTTTTTAGGAGCACCTGGTGGTGCAACCACAGACTTAGGTTTTGGTATTTCCTCTTCCTCCTCCATCATTTCTTGGGCATTTTCTTCTGGGGGCCTTCCATCTCCCAAGGAACCACCCCCGGGCTCGGCTTCACTTATTTCTTCTTTGTGTTCCCATGATTCTTCTGGGGACATTTCTGTCTCTCCATTTTCTACTGAAATAAGGGATTTTAACTTAGTATTCTAAAAAAGATTTATAATATATTTTAAAACAGATACTTTCAAACAAAAATTGGAACTTTGCACATTTAGTTCCATTTCCTACTGTCTAGTGATACATAAGCAAGAAAATCTCTTTCACAACAGAAATGGATAATAGCTTTCAAGCTGGCCTCATTGCTGACATCAGAGCTGACTCAGAGATTATGAGAGATTGCCATATTAACAAAGCTTCATTTTCATAAGAACAAACATGTAAGCAGGAGGTTGAACATTCCTAACAGCCCTGTTATTCTAGTATCAAGATGCCTTAACAGTGGAAAAAGGAGGAAATTTTAAATCATAACATAGGAAAAGTATGAAAGCATTTAGATTTTTTTCCTCTGCAAGTAATAACTTTAGCATCAACTTTATTAATAACCGGGGGAATATGCAACCCTTAAGAGTAATCAACTTACAAAAGAGAAGAAAATTTTCACAAAATACAGTAAATAGAATAGATACAACTATTTAAACTGACTTTAACATTCCTCCACTCAAATCTTTTTATGTTTGCTATCACTAAATTTATCACAGCAGTGTTAATGCCCAATTAGTTCTGCTTTCTAAATCTTCATAGCAAAGACTCAATGTCAGTTTTAAATGTAGGCATTACAATAATCATAACACTTACATTTGCCCCTTAAATCTTGAGAGTGAAAGAGTTTCTTATTACTGTATTAATATGGTCAGAAATTTTCTTACCAACAGGTTCTGAAAGTTCCATGCTAACAGCTGAATTTGAACCTAGACAAGAAATTGAGATATAATATATATTTACAAAACAATATCTAGCTTTATACACCATTACACAATTTAATGTTTTCTCAAATTAAATAGTAAAAGAGTCATATCATAGAAAGTTACCTTCACACAATGACTGTTCCTCTTGAGAAGGTTCCACGGGTGCTGTTTAATAGAAATAAATTCTATTAAAAATTAATAAGACATATATCCATTTTACTTACATTTTTAAAAACAGAAGTTCAAAACATAACAAAAACCTCAATGATTCAGACCAATGACAACTCAGGTTTTGAAATCAGAAGTCTCTGTTTAACCTACTGAAAAAAAAACTGAAAGGTGTTCATAAAAGCATGTTTATTCTCTTAATTTACTTCATAAACTTTTCCTTCACAGATACTATAAAAGTACTGTGTTGCCCAGCACAGATCAAATTAGTAAGATTTTGCTAAACAAATACACACTACTTTCCTAAATTTCCTCTTGGTAGCTCTAGTCCAAGAAGGCTACGCTTAGCCCTTTTAAAATTCTATAATCACATGTTATCATCATGATGCTTGAATAAATTACATTTGATACCAAGAAAATAAAGGAATTCATATAAAATCCCCCAATATATATATATAAGGCCCTTACAACACCTTAGAAAGGTGATTATAATACCAGTTTTGTTCTATGTTAGAATTCTAAAATCAAACAATCCAGTTTCCACACTGCAGATCTACTTGTAACATCACTAGAAAAGAGGTATACTGATACCAAACTATGTTTAATTTTTTTGTATCTGATAAACCTAAATGATACTCCAATATGAAAGTACCCTTGCTTTAAAGAATCTGCAAAATATTACACAAAGACATCAAAGAATTTGAAGTCACACGAATCCTCCAAGTAACGATGAAGAAAGCAATTTCCTGTCCCTGAAAGGCACAGAGTAGAGTAATCAAGGTTTTTTGATTCAAGTGACATGTCAAGTATCACTTAGGAAGATTATTCTCTGGTAGAATATAGACGAACTAGACAGGGAAAAACACTACAGGTGGAAAGACCAACATCACTACGACAAGAAAGCATGCCACTATGATAACTGAGCAGTAAAACCAGAGATGGGGTTAAGTGCAATGGTAATAGACACAACATGTGACAGGAGTAGGAAGAAAGAGTGAAAAGTTTAAGATGACCCCAGCCTATGTGACTGATTAGCAGGATATCAATAGAAACTGGGGTGAGGGGGGTATCATTTGAACTAGGTTTAGAAGGGAACAGGAATTGTACTTCAGACATAATATAGATTAACCTTTCTTTGTTTTCCCACCTCAAAGCAAAATTTATGGGTAAGGTAAGGAAAAAAATTCAATTTTGAGAGTAAGCCAGGCAGTTCTAAGTGAGTAAGGTTCATATGCTGCCCTAGAGATGGAGGAGGCAGCATGAAGTAGTGCTAAGAGGCTAGAACTGAGATGACTCCTGACTTTAAATCATGGCTTGTCACTAACAAGTTGTGAGGTGCAATTATTTCATTGGAATTATGGAAAATCAGCCACTAACCTGACAGGATTATTGAAAGGATTAAATGAAAAAAAAAATACATTAACAAATGCATTTTTAATTGACTAGTGTCAATTAAATGGCAACTCCTGGCACCTAGCACATAAGGAACAAATGACAGTCTTCACCCCCTAACATGTATTGAGTATCAACTCAATTTTATCAACTAACATGAGGTTTGTACAAAAAAAGTCCAGTCATTGTCACTATAATGAGAAATGTCTGTGTGACGTTAATGGGACCAGGCAGCCAAGGAGAGTGAACTGGAATGAGCATGTGTAAACAATAACAACTTCCCTGTACTGGTCAGTGGGGGCAGTAGATACCATCAAGTGAACACGTGTACTGTGTGGCCATCAATTTCAGAATGACTGAGCAAGTACAGCAACAAATCTGCATCACATTTTGTGCTATGCTGGAACATTCCTCCACAGAAACTACTCAGCTGATTCAGAAGGCCACAGCTATGGGCAACTGGTTATTGGCAACTGCATTACTACAACACTCCTGCTCATGTATCATGTCTCATGCAGAGTTTTTTTTTGGCAAAACAACAAATCCCCTAGGTGATTCAGCCCCCTATAGCCCAGATTGGGCACCCTGCAACTTCTGGCTTTTCCCAAAACTAAAATCACCTTTGAAAGAGAAGAGATTTCAGACTGTCAATGAGATTTAGGAAAATATGATGGGGCAGCTGATGGCAACTGGGAGAACTATGTGAGGTCCCAAGGTGCCTATTTTGAAGAGGACTGAGGCATAACTGTCCTATGTACAAAATGTTTCTTGTATCTTCTTCAATAAATGTCTATTTTTCATAGTACATGGCTAGATACTTTCTAGACAGACCTTGTCATATACTGAGTGTCTATTATGGGCCAGACAGAGATACCAAGCAATCACAAGTTGATGGGCGGAGGTGGTGGCAAATTATCCTAACTCCAACTAATTTTTATTGAGCTTTTATGTGCTGATTGCCACCTCACTTAAATCCCATCAAAATCCTATGAAATACTACAATGACTACTCATCTACCATACAGGCATATCAGACTCAACTGGGCTTTTCCAAGTTATTCAAGTGCCACCTTGCATTTTCTCAAATAGCCTCTGTTGTGAATCAGTCGGTAAAAGTAAACTAAGTTATGATGTACAAATATTTTAAAGCAGGAAAAAGGGATGACTGGTATGGTAGGTTCCTCTTCCATCGCCTAATAAGATAGCTACCAAACTATAACTGAGCTTTTCAAAACCAAATAGTAGATACAACTGACCACCTACTTCTAGAACCAGTTCTTAGATTTACAAATACACAATACTGTATGTGCATAAGGCTGTAAAGTACTTCTTCAGTGACATCAGTCATGAGACCACTTCCACATGGCTGCATAATGCAGCATAATGAAAAATCTTGTTCAGTTTTATTTTCCAAAACATCCTACATTTATATGTTTATCTTAAGTTTGTAAAGCTCAGAGAGGCAGAGGTAGAGTCAAGTACCATAAACAACTAAATGTTTAATATACTGAAACTAATATGAAATAATATTGAATGTAAAGTGTAATGGAAAAATTAAAAAATAAAAGAAATGCTTAATATACAGGGTCATGATGATATTAAAAGGCTCAAAAATAAGAAGTTGACCAGTTTTGTTATGCTGTAAAAAAAGCTTTCCATGTATTCAGATGATGGATCACATTATAAACCCAATGGTAATGCTAGCAATGTTTGCCAACTGACATTTTGGAATGATGAGCCAGAAAACTCACAGATACAGCAAAATGTTCTTTAAATTTAAACTTCTCAGTATGATTATACCCAGCCTTCACACAAGTACAAGCAACCTTCTCCTGTTGCTTCCACTCTGGTCTTATTCATACTGCATATCACATCCAGATTTTACTGACTACTAATGAGCAAGGGCTTAGAATTCTACTAGGCCCCAAGTCTTTTGTTCATGGTTAGCAAAAAGATAACCATTATTAGACCTTGACTTCTCAGATCCTGTATGGTTCATATCTGCTAGTGAAAGAGAAGTTAGTAAACCTCCCGAGGAATGAAATTAGGGTTTCATATTTTCCAGTGGTATTTCCATGTTCAGAAACACCCTTGTCAAGTATTGAAAAAAGGAACAATTCTAATTAAGTGGAAAAGTTATCCGAGTGTACCAATTTTGAATAAAACTGTCACACCCCAAATTAAAAAGAGAAACTAATACTATCGTTTGTGATAAAGGAAGACTAATGAACTGGTTGGTTGTGATCTAGGAAAATTACCACAAATTTTAAAACAAGAAATGAAAAGATTTTTTTAATCCTCATCCAAGGATATATTTACTGATTTATTATTATATTTTTTTAAGAGAAAGGAAGGAGGAAAGAGAAAAAAAATTGACATGAGAGGGAAACATCGATCAGCTGCCTCCCGTACCGGCCCTAACTGGGGTCCAATCTGAAACCTTTTGGTGCATGGGACGATGCTCCAACCAACTGTGCCACCTGACCAGGGCAAGAAGGGAAAAGATTTTAACAGAAGACAGTAATTTGACATAGATGATAATGTGGATTTCTAAATTGTTAGTTAAAATTTGACCTTAGTGAAATAAGCCGGCTAGACACAAAAGGTCACATATGCTGCATGATTCCATTTATATGAAACATTCAGAATAGGTAAATTCATAGAGACAGAAAGCAGACTGATGGTTACCAGGAGCTGGGAGGAAAAGGAAATGGGGAGTAACTGCTTAATGGGTAGGGTTTCCCTTTTGGGGTGACAAAAATATTTTGGAGCCAAATAGAGGTGGTAATTGTGCAACACTGAATATACTCAATGCTGCTGAATTGTTCACTTTAAAATGGTTAATATTGTTATGTGGATATCACCTCAATTGTTGAAAATATAGATTTTTTTAAAAAAGATTCATCATAGATCAAAGGGACTCCACATACATGGGATAGATAATGAAAATTATGATTTGATTCAAGGTGTTTTAAACACAAATGTTTGGCCAATCCTTGAAGTGCTTAATCCATATTTCATAAATCAGCAATTTAAATTTGTACTGCTTTAGATATAAAAACTAATCTTTAATCTTCTTTACACACTAATCAGTGATATTTAAAATGGTTACCTTAACTAAAATTTCAGTCCTGTTAGCTAAATGCTGTGTTCATTAAAGAAAAAAAAACAAAAACCAAAAGCAATTGCAGTGCTGTCACAGAAGTCACAAAAGTCTTACACTAAACTGAGAAACTGTGCCAATTCTGTTCAATATAAGTTTCTTCAATGATGGAAATGTTCTATATCTGTGCTGTAACATGTCCATCACTAGCCACATGTGGCTATTAAGCACCTGAAAGATGGCTACTGTGGAGGAACTAAATTTTAAATTTAATTTTAATTTACTTAAATAGCCACGTGGTTCTCAATTATCATACAAACTTATCTTACCTGATTTTCCCCTTCTATCCCATTGCCCAATCACCACCCTGAAGGACTAATGATTTCTCTTCTGAACTCCTCTAAGATATGACCCTTCTTTCAATTATAGGTACCCATATATTGTATATTATCTTAGTTCTTGATCCCTAGGACATAGACTTCCAGAATGACTGTGGTTTTCTG